TTTTAAAACTTTTTATTCGATACTTACCGTTACGATTTTTTTCTAAAATCAACTTATAAAGAAAATTAACCAAATGACATTTTAATTTCATGCATAGAATCAGTAATCCTTCCTTTTTATCCTACTTACTGGGACCCTTGGGAGTCCATAGGGATATCCCTCTACTCGTGAACCTAGTATCATGATTTGACAATTAACTCGATCATTCACATACCCCGTCTGGTAAAGAGCGCCAAAAATACTATTGTCTCGATACCCCGTTCGATATGAGAGTGAACTATATCTCCTAAAATTCATCTGGTATGGGACTTCTCAATCTCGTCCGACTAAGATAATATCCACGGTAAGATTCTCTACATACCCGGTCCGTTCATCCTTTCCCACGATGCCTAGTAAGCTTTCATTTATTTAGATTCTCATCATCCAAGCAACCACTAAAGCATACCAACATCTCATTTTATATTCACAGATTAATTCAAATGGCACTTAAACAAGCGATACAGCTTAGTATGACCGAATAATCAAATAATCAGAATACCAAATTAACAATGCTAGAGGAACCAAATAACCAAATAATCGATGAGATCATAAAAACCATCAATTCAATTATACACAATATAATAGTAAGAAAATATAAACAGTACAGGAAAATAAATAAGAAATTGAGATAAATGTGAACTAACCAGTTCTGTCTCTACTAGTCGCCTATAATATTTTTAGAATTTTTCTAATTTTTCACAAAAAATATAATTATCGATTATTAATCCTCAATTTACCATAAATGAGAATAGGGTGAGAGATCTTTACTGCGGTTGGTGTCTTAAGATGTCGCGCTATTTACTACGCCTCCTAACGGGTCCTGAGCTTCCTAAATTTTCCTGCATAAATTTAAAATACTTGTCATGAAACTAAAAATACTCTAAAGTTCCAAATCGGTGTCGAAAACCCCTTTCTGGCTAATTTTAGAGTTTCGGCACGGCGACGCCACCGTGCTCTAGTGCTGACTCAGCCACCCACAGCGGCATTTCACCTTAGTCTGACCAGTTTTAACCAGTTTTTTGTCAGTTTTGTCTGGTTTTATACGTATTCCTGTGAAAAAATATGTTAGAAAACCTCG